ATCAATCAGAAGCTTAGGAATTCTTCACTGATACAAATCACCATAAGTTTGTGTCTGGAAAGGGTCAACACAATGTGGTGTTTTCAGGGTTCCATAGTGCACATGAAGGTTCAGTGCCGACACAGCCACACAGCATCCATCCGCTGTCCTGCAGACGCCCTGCGTATCCCGCTTCCCTCCCTCTCCCTAACGTAAAACGCCGCCCGTAAATACCGGAGCCGCGCGCCGCTTCGCAACCGTCGAGAGCCAGGTAATGGTGCGGAACAGTTGGAACCTTTATGTTGGCATAGCACCCAAGCCCTTATTAAGCGAGCTTCCTCACGAGCCACTTTAAAATGTGTCTGGTCCCGTCCTTCCTGCTTTTACGAATCTGAGTTTAGTTGGCCTTTATCCCTGTCGATATTCTTAATTCCGACTTATTCCGCCTTTACTTTTGTCAGTACCGACTGATTTCTTTCTACTTTCTCCTCCTTCATTTTCATCCTTGTCAACATTTTGCCCGACTTCCTCCGATTCGACATTCTTGCCCACCGACTTCCATCCTCTCGACTTTTTGCCGTACAATTCTCTTCCAGCCGCCCGTTTTCGGGGGCCCGGCGGCCCGGCAGCGGCAGCACCTCAACGGCGCAGCTATCGGTGTCTCACCCCGGGGCGGCTTCCTCGCGTAACCTGGTCAGTCAGAGCATCGCTGCCCGCCAGGCTCTACAGCGCCACCAGAGAGCTGTAGCAGTACGAGCTCTCGGTCAACAGCAGGGCACGCTGGGTTCATTGGAGCAGGCGCGAAGCAGAGGCGCCAGGGGCAGCGCGCCACCACAAGTAGTCTTCTTCTGTCGAGAGACGGCAGCGGCTCCTATCACAGTGGTGACTATGGTGCTGCCATAGTTAGGAACCGTGTGGGCCTAGTGCAGCACCTCAAGCAGCACCTCCAGTAGCGCCCCATCACGGCATGCCTGTGGCAGGACGGTCGTTCTGGTCGTAGTCGTGCACGCTGGACCCACTGTTGCAGGCCCACAGCAGAGTCACCACACACCAGCCTTAGTGCTGGCAATGGGGCCGGTTGCGGACTCTTTGACCAAGAAGCAGGCTAAGCTGGATCGAGCCTGATTGCTTTATTCTTAGAAAACTGTGATCAAAGGGAATGTTCCACATTTAAAGATGTTCAAGCAAGCATCAGTTATGATGAGATAAGCTCACTTATAACCATTGGTGTACTTTTTAGGACAACAGGCTACTCTAGACAACACGATTTCTCCGTTTTGTAAATTTGCTCCTCAATACGTCATTGTTTAATTATGCCATTGTGCCTTGCAGAATACGGATTAAGAGGCAATTGACAGGCGATATATCTGGAAATCGTGCTCACATGCGCCAGATATGCACTATTTGAAGGTTATAATTGTCGTGAACTTGATCGCCGCATGACCAAAATAATGGCAGGATCTGAATAGTGTTATGGAGTCATGGATGCCTGAGTGAAGAAGAAATGGTCTCACCGAATTAGTCTAGACATCTTTGCGTGTATGTTGGCCAGAAACTAGAATGACTTAGATTTTAAGAAGGGCATGACTGTGAACGGACACCGAATAATCTTTAAGATGGCCTTTTCAGTTCAAATCCGTAAAAAAACGTGGATCACTGCCATTTAGTTGTCATATTTGCCTCAATGCACTTTCCAGATATATGAGTTATTATCTCTCATATTCCACAATCACCCCACATGCCTTCTGCGTGTCAGCATCCACCGTCAAAAAGGCTTTATCCAAGCTTTTTGAATGGGTGGATTTTTGTTATCAGAGTTCTTGCTAAGCAGTCCTCGTTGTGTGAGCCCTGATTCCTACCATCCGATCGTGCCTTTCCAGATCAACAGTAGAATAAATGGCGGGAGTCTACCGAGCCGCAAAGCTCGGCACAGTCCGTCCTACTCTATGACGTTACCTGGCTTTTAACGCGGCTGCTGCTACCGGCCGCAGGACACGCCTGTCAAGGCCTTACAGCAAGCGTCTAGAGCGACTCGAACCCGCCCCACTACGGATGGATGGATCGGGAGGCATGTAATCTAACCAACTGAACTATCGAGACGGGCCACATGTTCGTCAACTGCATCACCACGCTCAATCGCTCGCTTGATCGTGCATGCTTCTTATCAACCCGAATAAGTGTCATCTTGATCAAATTCATTCGGACTCTATCTTTCGCAGTTCTATTGGGTGGGGTGGGGGGGGAGGGGGGGGGGGATAGTTATATCTCATACTTAAATGCTTAGCAATCCTTCCATCACCATCCACACGCCTGGAATGATAAAGTAAGCTCCGCTGTGCAAATTCATTTGAAAGTTTTCATCCAAGTGGTAGCCACTGTCGGCCACAATGCCATCTGCGTGCCCAGCAGGGTCCCCATCTCCATGCACGTGCAGTATCCCGGAAACACCACTTGTCGACCGGAGTTGCCACTTTCGAAAACGGGGTACACAAAAATACGGGCAAATGTTGCGTATGACTATCATCAGATATTGCCGGTAAAGTAACAGGTCAAGTGGGTTTTAACAGGCTTCAAGAACTCAGATCGACGAAATCATTTTTCCTGCATACAATTAATGCATTTCATCTTGTTTTGATTAAAGTGCACGTTTAGAGGCTCTGTTTTGGCAACAAGAAGCTGCATTCGGCGGCATACCAAGGCCGTCTGGATAAAAAGACATGACACGTACTCGGCTCAGCAACAGTTAAGTCATCATTATCACGCTAATAAGCGCTTAAAAATATATTATCCGTGCCACTGATGTATTTCGGCGCAAAATACAAACAAAAATGACCAAAGGCAGCTGTCAAACCAAACCTTTTATGAGCTGGAACAAGCGATTGTTCGCATTATACTCCATGTTTTATTTGCTATGTCAAAGTTTGTTAGATATTTTCGCATGGTGTTGTAGCGTTGCATGCGAGTTGTGCTCCGCGTTCCACTTAAGCGCCATACCTCCGAGAACAATTCCATTAGGGATAACTCACGCGCATACGCCATCTAGTAAAGACGATAGCAATCAGAGATGGGTGACGAAGCCACGCACGGTGCGACCGGGTACTACTAAATGGGATCAACGGGCCGCTATGAAGCATTTCAGGAATGCACCCCGAAAAAAAGACGGAAGGACAAGATACCGGGTGACGTACTATACGTACTACTAAACATACTACGATACAAGGTGACGTAATAAAACTACATCAAACAGTACCATGTTAGGGAGCAAACCCGTCAAAAGATATGTGATGGTGCTGTATCGGCAGAGGCGCCCGTACCTACGGTGGCAGCGCATGTGGAAAGCAGCAGTAGCGCCACCTGCGACGAGTCGCTAGTGGCGTTCCGCGTGCAGCGGCGGCGCCGCAACCTTTTTCCCACCCCGGGCGGCCTCCTCAGCGTAGATGGCAGGACCGTCGCCAGTCACGGGCTACACCACCAGAGATCTGCGCCAGTGCGACCCCTCAGTCCGCAGCAGTGGGGCAAGCTGGGCTTAGTGATGCAGACGCAGAATGTGACAAGGCCAGCGCGCTGCCATGAGTCGTTCGGAGCGTGAGGTCACGAGGACCAGATAGCTTCCCTTCCGTCGAGAAGACGGATCAACTCCAATATAGATGAACTGCAAACACTTAAGGTCTCGAAAAATTTCTGGCATCATTATGTTCTTTGCTAAGCATCATGATCGGAGAGAATGACACAGATGTGGGAAATAGGTTTGCCGTATGTCGCGAACGTAAAATTTCCTTCGCCGTTGCAATTGAATGGCGAAATGTAATCGAGATATTACGAAAAATATCAAACAGTTCATGTGAGAATGAACCGAATAACGTTAAATAGGCCTAGTGGTGCTTCCCCTCATATCCGACATCACATCAAACCACATGTTAACGTCGACCGTACATATCTCAATAAATGAAGTAACCTTTTTTCTTTCATTTGAGAATGGAGTGGCTGATCTCCCGGGAAACAGGAATGGGAAGGACTCCCAAACACACATTGTTTCCGCGTGATCGGGAGCGTAGGAATTTGTCAATGCGGGATGGGGGGGGGGAGGGCAGAATAAAACAACCGAATAGTTAACTTAGGTTATCTCTTAGTTTAGTTCTCGATCGTTTATTTTGACGCCTTTTCTTGCGCTTGAAATTGAGAACATTTCGTCAGGCACATATTCATAACCTTCGCAGGGGGAGAGGCACATGCTTTCGAAGGCTGCCCCGTACGTTTGCCACTGACAATCGCGTTTACAACTATAATTTGCAAAAACACAGCCGCACGGAGTGGCAGCGTAGCAGACTTCGGACGCTGAATGCCAATGAGGCCGAATGTATAAAAACATCGTACCCGTGCTTAAGTGTCCTCTCCTTGCTCTTATCCTCGCTCGGCGTAGAGCTGGGTAGCCGTCAACCTAGCACCTATGCGCCTCAGGCAGGACGTATCAGACGGGCAGGTTAGGATGTCTGGCTTCGGGGTCAACTGACAGCGCAAGAATAGCCATGGAACCATGGCGGAGGCGGAGGCAGACGTCTCCCAACACTGGTTCGTATTGACCGTCCACGCACCAGACTGACGAATTTCGCTACGGCACAGCGTTGCAGTATCCGTAGTGAGACCACCCGCCACGTGCACCTCCCATATTGTCCGCAACTTTACAAGGTGGACTTTGCTATTGAATCCTGAAATCACAGGCACAAAAGCCATGCCAATGAGCAAATTTCGGGCGGTGCGTTCCACTGAAGGGTCAAGGGAGGCTTTACCTGCATAACGTGTCGCGTCCCATAGCTCGCAGGGCATCCCAACTGGGTCGCACGAGCACGCCTAACGATCCCCCTATGTCACACAACGCACAACCATCTCCTGTCTCCTTACCACGCCCACAAGCCGGCGGCCGCCTCCATCTGTCAGCTTCCTGGCCTTCTCCCTCCTGCACCATGTCCTGCAGCCAGTCAGGTCGACACCAGCGCCGACGACGGAATGCTTCACACACGGGACCAGCTCGCGGTAGGCATGTATTGACGATTGAACGGTGCAACTGACAGGGCGGGATCACTCGTTCTCCTCGCTCCTGAGGCGCGCGTGGCCGTTCGTCACCAAAATGTTGAGCTGCTGGGCACGCTCCAGGATCAGCTTGCGCTTCTTGGCGGACACGGCGTGCGCCACCTCGGCGCAGTATCGCTGGTTCTGCATCAGCAGCACCTCCAGCTCCTAAGAGTGATGCAAGTTAATATAATAATAAAAATAACTGTGATTCTGCATGCACATGGCTTGGATTTCAGACACTGACAATTCTGACATAATAACAAGACATGACTTCCAAATTTAGAGATCAGTCAAGAAGTGAAGTTGGGTGCACTGATACAACATAGTTTTGTGACCACAGCCAACCAATTCTATTACCAGAAGTTCTTTAAATGTTAATTTCATCTATGACAGGCTGTCATTCTGCCAAACAGCTGCCAAACATTCATAGTGCATGTACCCATAACCAATTACATAGTGGAAGGCTACATGATATTATCACCAACAAAAAGTATGCAGAGCCAGAATAAAAACTCACTTTCACATTGTGGACAACAACCTTCCTGAAACCATTGGGTAGGATGTGTCTGTGAGTGTATTTTGTGCCATAACCGATGCTGGGCATGGGGATCTGGCCCTTGAAGCGACGCCTAGCAGGGTTGTCAATACCCCTAGGCTTCCTCCAGCTAGGCTGCAAAAGGTAAAAATCAGAGATTAGCCATAAGGTTGTGAACTGTTGTGAGTTACATACAAATAAGGCAGCATGCACTTGAGTTTGGAACCATTTTCTTCCTATCAACTATGAATGGTGGCATTATGTGGTGGTGGTAGTAGACAAGGTAGTGGTCAAAACACTCCATTCCTTCATAGCCACTACCCTTGAGAGTTTAATGAGTGCCACCTGTATGCTTGGTCATGCCAGACATGAATATAGCATACTTCAAAAACAAAACATGTAAAAATAGCTGATATTTCAACACTGCATTACACAGCATTCAAATGCACTAGACAATGCTGATAAAATGATGCCCTGGTTGTAGCCATCACATCCTCCCCAAAAAGGCAATGCAGTGTGTAAAGATGAGCAGCCAAATCATACAAAACATTCTCAGTGGGGTTGGGGGATGTCAGGGGGGGGGGGGGGGGAGAGCACATGTACCCAGGAATGGCATGCTACAGCACAGCCTGCCCATGAATACAAGACATTTCAGCTGGCAGCAGGTGACAAACCCTCATTTGACACAGGTAAAATATCTGCTGTCCAAAGGCAAAAAGCCAAGTGCTACACTAGTTGGTGGCTCTCAGGCTTTTTTCCCCTGCGCAACAAATGTGCCATAATATGACCTCTCCACACATAGTGTAGATACACCAAACACCTAGCTTTTCCCAGCAACCTTCTCCTTCCACTCATCCCTCCCACTTCAGGCCAGGTCTGAGCCACCACACAGTGTTGGGAGCCTAACACTCAGCCCTGAGAAGTCCTCTGAGTAAAGGGGTGGGGTGGGGTAGGGGGATGGGTGGTTTCACTCCCATTCACTTGCCCTCCCTATCTGAGGCACATCACTGCCTGGCAGCACCAATACCAATTATCCACCACTAGCTCTTTTTGCAGTCATTCTTTTTGCAAAACATTAAATACAATATCCACACACTACACACATGTGGATAAGTTAAAATGCCTTGGTCATGTAATGCAGGTTTCATGCAGATGATCTGCCAGATTATCCCATATTTTTCCAAAAAAGGAAACCATTAGCATTATTTCTCCATGTGGACCTTCTCAGAATCAACTTAATGGCTTTATTTTTAAGACTTTTCTGCCAATATGCAATAATAACTATGAGATTTTGGTCTTACACTGACCTAAGATGAGGCTATCACTAGAACACCTACTTAGGTACTGTAATTTAGTCAATGACATGGACAGAACACCTGGCACAGAGGCCATAATGTCTGATATCTGCCATTTGCCTGGGATGCAGAACCACCTCACAAGTCACAGTAGCAGAATGTCATCAAGTTTAAGAAATGTAGACCAGAAAACCACTTGACTAACCTCCAAGCCACAGTTTGTGGTCACAGCACATACCCATACCTAATGTATAACACTGATCCTGCTGAGTCAGCAACACCTTGTATTATGCTTCTGCTTCATAGTTGGGAGAACCACAGCTTAATCCTATCTTTTCTGATCCTAATATATGATTTGTGATGCCACTTGGATAGAGAGTGACATACCTAACCACCCATTCTTGATTAATTTGGCATGCTTGTAAAAAGACTGCCTAATTTAATATCAACACGTCAACAAGACAGTCTGGTTCCTGCCCTAGATGAAACAGCACTTGAGACAAAAAGCAGACCAATTTAGGTATATTCTGTTAACCTTATCTATGCCAAGCATGTTGGGAACAAGTCACACTTGGGTTATTTTGGTAGGTTTATTAAGTAACCTACATCAAATCATGTCATTGGGACACACACAGTTGCTGAGATTACAAGGCATCACCTGCCTCTCACCCTGGCACGAAGGGCACGCACAGTGGGGAACAAAACCATGTACCTCTGATCACCTCGATGAGCAGTCATTAACACAGACGCTTTAACCTCTACACTATCGGCAACCCTCATGTCATATCAGTGTACCGAGCCTATTGCACACACCCCTAACTCAGGCCAGGCCAGATTTAGCACAGTACAGAGCAAGATTGCCTGAAATAACTTTTGGAACATTATAATTCCCTGAAAGATTTGCTCCCTTGTTCAGTTCAGCTTAGGTGCTGAAATAGGCAATCATGCAATTAACTACAATTCACAGCACTTTCAATTGCCATGCAAACACATGCATTTTGACATAAATGCAGCATTTACATTTAGCTGCTCAAAATAACTAAGAGCATATATAGCCTGGAGCTTTTCGTGCGATGTGGCTATTACTACATCACATGCATTTTTAGTCCAGACACGCTCATCATCATGCATCACTGTTACCTTAACACGGTCATAACGATCGCTGTGGAATCGCTTGAACTTGTTGGTCTTCTTCTTGACAATCTTCGGTCTGGAGATCGGCTTAGGTGCCATGGCTCTGAGAACGGTACAACGTCTCAGACTGCGGATGAGACGAGACCGGCGCACAGAATCCAACAACTAGCCCTGACTGACCACTCAAACCTGTTCCAACACAACTAAGAGCGACTTACCACAAATAATATTACACAATTGACATAACAGGATGCAATTTCCAATGCCTTACCGACGTGCACGAAACAAACTTCGCACACGCGCCCACGGACACCTACCCGTTTGGTTGTACACCGGAAAAGGGTGGCGCCAAACAATCTGGGTGTGTCCTGTTGTAACTAACAATTCTAATATTCTTTTGATATTGTCTATTGATATTTGCACCAGAAAACAATCTTAAAAGGATTGAATTTTTAAAAAAATTAATGTGTCATGGTGGTTTTGTCATAGCCTCACATTTAAAACGTGTGAAGTAGTCAAAACTCTTAATGTTTTTATTTACGAAACTGACGCAGTCAAGTCAAAACTGGTGGAAAGAGCGAATTGTACGTGATGGCTTACTCCGTTTTGCAGGGAGCGGCGTTCTTCCGGGCGAATGTCGCGTTCTAGATAAATATAACCACCATAACGACTCACATAAAAGGTGTGTGTGTGTGTGTGTGTGTGTGTGTGTGTGTGTGTGTGTGTGTGTGTGTGTGTGTGTGTGTGTGTGTGTGTGTGTGTGTGTGTGTGTGTGTGTGTGTGTGTGTGTGTGTGTGACAGAATGGCACAGGGTCTATCTTGTGTAGATCTACGTAAGCATGTCCGACTGTGTGTGCCATGGAAATTGATGTCTTTGTTTATGCCTCATGGTGCCTCAAAACATACTATTCACGGCGCGTCCGATTATCGTATGAAAAGTATATTTTTGTTTTGTCATAAGGGAGCCTCAGCCTTTTCAGCATATCAGAGTCCCAGAGTGAGGGTGAAGGTGTCAGATGATGGTGTGTTATGTGTTTTGGGTTGTGTGGGTCTGTGTTATGTTTTTGAAACTATCACCTGGCTATGTGATGTGAACACACCATGTGGCATGTTGTGCAGAGCACAAATACAAAGTGGCCCTTGGGGCTTGTGCTCCTCCTTTCCAAGTTCTTGGCAGGCTTTTATACACCATTTGTTGTGTTTAAGGCTGGGGCATATCATAAATAATCTTAAAACAGGTAGAATCATGCTCCTACCTTCAAATTTTGGTAACTTTGATGGCGAGCTCCCGAGCACCGCATGCACGACATGGCCCGGAATCCCTAGCACCGTTTCTGCATTGCTGTTATGTAATTACAATATTTCTGCTTACCAAGAACTATAAAAATGTATGGGACAAATGTAACAATAATAATGCAATGAAAATTGCTTCTTATCGTGTTTAGGTATGTTTGTGAGATGCACAGGCCAGAATAGTCCAGAACATAGCCTAAACTAGCCTAGCCTAACCTAACCTAACCTAACCTAACCTAACCTAACCTAACCTAACCTAACCTAACCTAACCTAACCTAACCTAACGTAACGTAACCTAACCTAACCTAACCTTACCTAACCTAACCTAACCTAACCTAACCTAACCTAACCTAACCTAACTGAGAATAGACCAGAACCTAAGCTAAGCTAACCTAACCTAACCTATTCTAACCTAACCGTAACCAAACCCAACCTAACCTAACCTAACCTAACCTAACCTAACCTAACTGAGAATAGACCAGAACCTAAGCTAAACTAACCTAACCTAACCTACTAACCTACTAACCTAACCTAACCTAACCTAACCTCTAACCTAACCTAACCTAACCTAACCTCCCCACCCTATATCCCCTTCAACCCAGCATGCCATTGGTGTCCATGTTCCATGCCATATATAGGTACCATGTAGTGAGCTTTTATTTAGCTGCCATGTTCTCATCTTGCTTTACATTCCCCACCCAATCCCCCTGCAGCCCGTCGTCCTGTTGGCGTCAAGGATCAAATTTCATGGATTCTTGTTACCCTGGCCCCATACATTTTTATGGTTCTTGATGCTGCTTGATGCGCGGTAATGTTGTGACCACGCGCGGTAATGGTGTCGCGGCTGCCGTGTGTGTGCGGCGCTCGGGAGCTCGCCATCGTAATTATAAAGAATTTGAAGGTAAGAGCATGAATCTACCTGGTTTGCGATCATTTACGATATGTCCTGCCTTAAACACGACAAATGGTGTACAATGATTTTGTCTAACGTCAGGTAGGAAGGTACACCCTGACCTGCATATGTTTAATATTGACAGTACAAAACTCCTGCGGGCATCATATTCCATAACATGTACATTAAGGGCATGCTATTTCATTTCACTGCCAACTAGAAACTGGGGGCAGCTGTGGCATACTGAACTCAGATTTCATTGCAAATTATTGTGAAGTGCCCCCTCATTAATTAATCTTGAAATTGCCTGTGATGCTGTATATGCATGTGCCACCACTAACACTTCACATTTGAGATCTGCCACTCACTGGCAGACCCCACAGCTTTTTGCACATTTAGGATTTGCAGTATAGTCAAAGTAATAGAATCTCATCATAACCTGTCTTACTTTGCATGCCAGCTTGATTTCATCTGTTGCTACATAGATAAAAGGAGCAATCATGATTCACCTGTGGTAGAGAATTGAAATAGCTGTTTAAGCCAGGCAATATAATCCTGATAAAAGGAGATAACTGCATGCCCCAGTCTTCCTGATATGAGGGCATGTGTGGAAATATGGCACACAGTGATTTGGTGTGCTTTTCAAATATGGCTTGCAATAGTGTTTTTTCTTTTCTTTGGAAAATTTACCTAAGCAATTTTTATAGCTCTGATACAAATGCATCTTCTCAACCTGACATACTGTCTGGGTGCTCCCTCAACTTTGTCTCAAATAGTTTTAAAAATGTCTTGAGCTGTTGATTTGCTCAAAGGAGTCTCACTGAAGGGAATTGCCATTTACCTATCAAAGAATTACCCTGTTTTATTATTTTGACAATATGTATTGATCATAGTTTCTAGCTAACTAGTTTCTAGGTCTAGTTCATAGCTAACATCATTATTTGATTGCAACTGACAGTGCTGTTAGAGGGGTTCCAGGACAGAATTTAATTGTGTTTTTGTTTGTGTATGTATATATGTGTTTCTGTCAGTGCATGTTTCTGTATACTGTGTGTGTCTGTTGTTACATAAAGGGCCCTACTTGACCATTCCATCACATTTTTGAAGATTGGGAACCCTTAAGGCCACATCATGTCACATCTTTTTAGTTTGTTTGAGACCCATGGTAGCGTAATTCTCACAATGAATATAAGGATGAAAGCTTAACTTTTAAGACAGTGTGTTAAATATTAAAAGCACAAAGTTTGTGGTGATGAGCTGATGATGTGTACCTAATTCAGTAATTTTCTTATCATTTTACTAATAAAAATGTTCCCACTCCAATGTGTGAAAGCTTCTGGCAAATTAATTTGTCTACCACTTACAGCAAACTGTGGCTGTGACAATCCTGTTCCACCACTACAGGAAAAGGTGCCCCCTGCCAGAGATAGATCTGTGGCTCCTCAGCCAGATGTCAGATTTAACTGGGGCTGAGCTTCACACCCAGGAAGAAGTGCTTATGAGCAGGTTTGCTTTTTGAAGGTGTGCAAGCAGTTGTAGTGAGAACTGGCAATGATACCTGTAAAGGTACACATCTTAGTGTATCTGCAAAAGTGTATATAACAATGGTTATCATACACCTTTACAGGGCCTCTGTTAGAAAAGGGATCATCTCAATGTCCATTCCACTGGGCTCCTCAATGAACATGCTGGCAGGCATGAATGGAAAGAAAACAAGCAAACATTGACAACTCAAGATAAAGTGTGCCAGATTCAGTGCTGTTGTGTTTTTGTGGAGTGACTGAAGGAGTGTGTTCACCAATGGCTGTGCATGAAGCTTTGTGCCCATTCAGCCCTCTCCTTACCAAGACTGGCTGTGCCTGTGCAGAGTTCTGACCAGTAACCTGTGCACCATAAGGTGACACTTGATCACAAGACTGGCTGTGCCTCTGCGGAGTCCTGACCAGTAACATGCCCACCATAAGGTGACACTTGTCCATGTTAACAACAAGGCCATATCTGTATGAGGGTACTGACAATGCACAGGCACTAGAAACCTTCATGTGTGGGATTTCCTTTGGCCGTCCGCTGCCGTTAGGGCCATGCCCTTAGGGCCATGCCCTTACCCACTGCTCATCATTCCTTATCAGTTGTACCTATCTTTTACCCACCTATGTGCATTTTGCTAGCACTTGTGTTCTTTAGGAAAAATATTGAATCTGATACCGAGACTTGTACTTTTGTTTTCATTATTGCAAGTGTTTTGTTACTGTAGCCAATTTTTATCAAAAGAACCACAAGCAGTAATATCATGATTTTTTGGCAGTCCACCTGACATCACCTTAGCATCCTACCCATGCATGTGCTCATGCTTCCTATTGAGATGTTGCGAATTTTCGAAAATAAATTGAACCTGATTGAACCTGTAAATTGAACCTGTACCCAGCTGTTAACCCATTCCATATGGATAGCGATGGGCTCACCCAATCTGTGCAGGCGTGTTAAAGGCAAGCTGGTGACGAAGACGCGCTTCATCGATATTGATGCGGTGTTTGTGGCTCCTTTCACAAAATGCAACTCTAGTTTGATATTCAGAGACCCTCACAAACACAAACTTGTTAGTTCGTTTTTATGCTTGTATTGGGGGCCTAGTTCGACATTTTGTGGGTCATGGCCCCCCCCCCCCCGCAGATAGATGCGAAGCTCCACCCCAGCGGAACAAGCATGGCGAGAAGTATGGGGACGGCTTTGAACAACCGAAGTGGCGACGTGCGCTCTGGTATTTGCTGTGTGTGGAGCTTCCTACTGAGACATTGAAAGTATTCGCGAGAGGCGTCTGGGGATTGCTATTTCCAAGACTGACAAGACTCATGTCAAGGACACTAGGGGGCCTGTGCGATATTCCCTGCTTTTATTCGCTTCCAGAGCGCGTGGTCACGCATTGCACAATGTTGGGTCTTTCACCATGGTGTCGCCATGGTGTCGTCAACATGACGTTTCCACTCCTGGCTTTGACAGCGCCCATTACCACCGGATTAGCAAGAATCCACGATTTAGATGGAACCTAACTCGCACCTGCCAGGAGGACACTGCCATGAGTGATTGTCTCACTGTGGCCTTTCAGGCTAGCCATGGCAACTCTGGATGACAAGCTGCTGGGTGAGAAGCTGCAGTACTACTGCAGCTCCAGCGAGGACGAGGGCGCCGACAGCGCGGACGAGGGCGCCGGCAGTGGGGACGAGGGCGCGCCGGCCGCGGCCGAGCCCGCCGCCCCACCCCCGCCGGGTGACGCCTGGGCCGGCTCCTCCACCAACGTGAGTCGGCAGCGGGCGGAGGTGGGGGGGGGGGGGGGGGGGGGGCAGGGGCAGGGACATAGGCATGGTCAAAGGCAGGGTCAGATAGGGATGACAGGGAATAGCAGCAGGAAAGGTGACGGGGTCGGAGGGAGGCAGCCACCCCATCCCCAGAAGTTTGCACTGATGTGTGACATCATTTGGAAAGGAACAGATGAAAATAGCTTCCCTCAACTCATTGAATGGTCCTCTGCCACACGCGTCAGACAGAGGTGGTCACGAGGCTTGCCCTAGCATCTACAGTTTGGTCGTGTGCAGGAGGCGTGAAGCTTGAGTGAGTGTTACACATGTATGTGGGGTTGTGAACTGAAATAGCCATCTTGAGGACTTTGCGGTGTTCTTCACAATCCTGTCCTCCTTAAGACCCAAGTCCCCCTATTTTCTGAGCTAGACGCCTGCGAAAATGGGGAAGGTAAATCGGAGAGAGTGTTTCAAAGTCACCTTGGCATTCACGATGTTATAATAGCGTCATTAAAGTCCTGTCATTTCATGAGCCATGCGGTGATCAAGGCAAAAATAAACATGATGTCCGAGGCGTTCATATCAGGCGTTCGTGAGCGCGATTTCCAGATATAACGGCCGCCAATTGACTCTCAATCAATACTGTTCAAGGTACGATGACATCGCGGAACCATGACGCGTTGAGAAGCATTTTTACTGAGCAGATACTTGTGTTGTCTAGAACTGTATTTTCCACTTAAAAAGTATGCCAAAAGTTATAAGTGAGCTTGTTTCATCATATCTGATGCTTGTTTCATTAGCTTCTAACGTGAAACATGTCGTTTAAAACTGGAGTAGCGCTGAGATTGTGAGGAGGAGTGGAACTGCCGTTCCCACTTAAAAAGCATACCAGAAGGTATAAGTGAGCTTGTTTCATCATATCTGGTGCTTGCTTCAATGTCTTCAAACGTGAAACACATCCTTTAAAACTGGAGTGGTGCAGAGGTCAAAGGGCGCGCTCGGGTCTGTGGCGGTTAATGGCATGCAGCAAGAGTGGGTGGACCCCGAGCTGAAGCGGTGCCTGGGTCACATGACTCACTCGTGTCCGAGAAGTTCAGTCGTGTGCAGCAAAAGCGGTGTTCCCGGGGATCCGGTCTGCGGATGATAACGGTTTGTAGATTGCGTGGTCGCTACGGTGTGCATGTCGTGGGGCACGATACATTGGCGGATGAGATCGATTGACTGTGATTATGCGGACCTTAAGTGGGACTGAAGTACCGCACTTGAGCACGCCTCATTTCCAAAGTTCTTGAAAGGCCGCAGTTTTACTGCTAACAGCTGGCCGACAAGCCGACATATGCTCTTATGATCTCGGTAGTGTCTCGGTTTGTAAGCCCATTACTGATGCGTGTGTGGGCGTTTTGTTTGCATTACAGACGGGGCCGAAGGGTGTGATTAAGGACTGGCAACGCTTTAAGCAGTTGGAGGCCGAGAAGAGGGCAGCACAGTCGCTGGAGAAGATGCAGCTGGCCAAAAAGTTGACCATGACGTGCCGGTGCGTACTTTCCGTTGGTGTGTAGCACTCCACAGCTGCGGCGAATGAAACGCAGCTTCTTTTCGTTCCAGTGGCGCAAATTTATCTAGTGATCACGATCCACTATCACGCTTGCACTCGGCGCACGCCATCCGCTTACCGCAGCTGCCGGAACCGCGGCGGGCCGCCGTCCGCCGCCGGCCTGACCGCCGCTGGCCTGGCCACCATCCGGCGCTGGGCTGACGGCCGTCCGCCGCTGGGCTGACGACCGTCCGCCGCTGACCTGACCGCCGTCCGCCGCTAGCTTGACCGCTGTCCACCACCGCAGGTCACACTTGGAGGATGACCGGGAGAAGCGGGAGCAGCAGCAGCTGGAGGAGGAGCTCGGCATGCTGGAGGACGACGAGGTGCTGCGCGAGTTCATCCAGCGCCGCATGCAGGAGATGGCCGCGGTCCGGCAGCACGGGTGAGGCGCGAGCCGGGCCGCCCGGTCCGGGGTCTCTCCACCCTCTGGCCAGTGGTGGGGAGGGGAGGCCAAAGGGGCACGCATGTGGGGCACGCATAGCTCCGCGGTAAGACGGACGCATGGACGGGCGAGCGCATGAACATGTGGGAACCGGGCGAAGGGAACGAACTTGCATGCCTCATATGAGAATGATGGAGGCTTTGCATAAAGAGCTGGGGTATATTGTGGGCATTGTGTTGGGGAAACTTTCGCACGAAAGGCTCACTGATTGGTACCAGAGATTGGACGGAAATCACCTGCCGCATCCGCCGGAGCTAGGCTACAACTCACCAACTTGCCTTTGATATTGTCTCGTGCCCGTTTCTGTCAGCTTTTCACTTTTTAAGGGAATATCCCATCTATGTTGTACTTTTCACTAATGTGACATCAAACGTGCATGATTTGATCAGTAATACCAGTTTTCTCAAAATTCTCTTGAATAGCTCAGAATTGCGATTTAAAGTAGCCGACCCTGCGGCAGAAATCTCATTTGACTCCTTGCTTACCACTATGAAAGTGATGCATTTTATTCGCCTTGCTTTTTCCAATCTGTGTGTTCTGTAATGTTTGGAAAACTGATGTGTTAAAATGTTCATGTAATAAGTGCTACAAAAACTTGCAACACTCTGTTGAGAGAAAATATATGCGAACATGCAGCTAGTATCCTGCGAATTCAAGGAAACTTGATACTGTGACTTTGATTTTTCCCCTACGCGTACCACAGTGGCTCTTTTCGAGGCGCACTTGGGTTTTGGAAAAAGGAGTATCATATGACCCATGTGGCACACTGGCTTAAGCTTCAACCAGTATGCTCCTCGGTAACAGGCCCGTGCCCGCTGGGCCAATTACACACCTCCTTTGTTCGCACCAGTAGAGGTGCGCACGGTTATTGTCGTGGCGACGGTGGTCACGGCTGCAGAGATGGAGCGTAGTAGCCCTCGCTAGTGCTGTCACAAGGCGTGAACAGCGCAAGTTAGCTAGAACATAGTTGGAATTTATATCCTTACTATGTCTTGATGGTTCTGTAGCGGCTCTGCACATTGCTATTACTAGACGTAACTAGTCCTGAAGTTTCATTAGCGTATGTTTTTCAAATATGCCCCGAAGGTGGAACACTCGCTTTGATATAGTTACGTACTAGTATTTTGGGGATTTTGACAGTTTTTTAAGTTGACATGTTCGGTATCGGAGTGTAGTGTGCACACTGCTTGGCGCCTTGCTTTCAGGTTGCCCCACCGCCCAGGTGTCTTTGCCAAGCGTCGTCTTAATTTGGTACGGCCACTGAGCAGGGTATTTTGGTGGAATCTTAAACCGCGGCTTTAACGTGGTTCAAATGTCGGCTGGGGGCGTACGAGCTTACGTGGTGATGGTCAAATCTCCGAGATCTGCCACTCATTGAAGGGAGGCCCGAGGGACCTGTAGGACGGGTTTTAGAGCTTTGTGCCCGTGCCCACAGCCCCAAGTTCGGGCACCTGATCGCGCTGGACTCCGCGGAACACTTCCTTGACGCCGTCGACCAGGAGGAGAAGGACGTGATCGTGATCGTCCACGTCTATGACGAGGTTCGCAGCAGTCTGACACACACACGCACGGACGCATGCACGCACGCACGCACGCACGCACGCACGCACGCACGCACGCACGCACGCACGCACGCACGCACGCACGCACACGAATCGCGGAACTCTACTGGAGGATTTTGATTTGAGGCTCCAGGGCACACACTTTGTGCTAACGATTTTTCTTGATTACTGATTGCATGCTGACGTCAGCCCCGTGTCGAGTCGGGGTTTTCGGAATAGCAATATCCAACCATCAGTATCATATACATCTTATGACAACACTCCAAAGAAAGCCCTGCAACGCACCATTCAAGTCGACAGCACGTCGTGAGGTCCCAAGGGACGACATCAAACACATTTTCGCTTAACCCAGGGCGCACCGTAACCGTGGACCGCAGCACGCTGTGCCTGTGTAAAGCCACTGTCGCGCCCATGTGACGTGGAGCGCCGCGTCGCGTGCCACCCCTGACGCCGTCTCCCCGTCGTCGGCAGCGCACGCCCAGCTGCTGCACGATGAACGCCTGCCTGGCCACCGTCAGCCAGCAGTACCCGGGCTACAAGTTCTGCAAGCTGCGTGCCAGCACGGCCGGCGTCAGCAGACGCTTCGTGAGTCAGCTGGCGGCGGGTGCCGCGGCCGATCAGTCGGGGTCGGACGCGGCCACCGTCACCGGCGCCAGCGCTCGACGCTCCAGCCAGACGCTGCCGTCACCGGCGCCAGCGCTCGACGCTCCAGCCAGACGCCGCCGTCACTGGCGCCAGCGCTCGACGTTCCAGCCAGACGCTGCCGTCACCGGCGGAGTCTGGCTGGAGCGCTCACAGATCGCGTTCCGGGTGTTCGTGTCGGCCGCGTCTCTCCGAGTATGGGCTTTAATTTTGCTCGAGTTAATGCGGTGCGCGCGGCTGCTCTGCACGTGGTGGGGCGCGGGCGACTACAATGGCCAGGTGATTGTCGGCGGTCGCGGCTGTGTTCGTCGAACGCGGATACAGCTGCGCGCTGCCTCGCTCGTTCGTGGTAAAAGACTGGACATCTGCCGAGCGTGGAGTGCCGTGCGGAAGCCATAGAACGGACCGTCACGGCACGGAACTCCCGGGCCTGTAAAAGCGTAGTCATGACTGCCGTTAGCCGCTGGAACGCTCTCCGTTGTGCCTGCCTTCCACCGGTAGGACTGACGGTGGATCGTGAGTCCTCGAGGCACTCCTATCCCCTCCTCAGTGTCTTTTTCTATCCGCATTTCGTCCCTCAGCATGCGACGCATTTGCGACATGTTTCCTCCATTTTCTCAAGGAAGACACGTTTGACGTTAATTGGGAGGTGGGAGGGGGTAGGGAAACTTTGAAGCCGAAGTTTGTTGTGGTCGCTTCTTGGACTGTCCAGGTCGCTCGGCGCCCATTAAGAGCACCATAGTTGGCCCGCCACCCCCGCCATGTCAGCGCCGGACTCTGACGACACCGTCCTCATCCCGCCACCCCTGCCGTGTCAGCGCCGGACTCTGACGATACCGTCGTCATCCCGCCACCCCTGCCGTGTCAGCGCCGGACCCTGACGACACCGCCCTCATCCCGCCACTCCTGCCGTGTCAGCGCCGGACCCTGACGACACCGCCCTCGTCCCGCCACCCCTGCCGTGTCAGCGCCGGACTCTGACGACACCGCCTTCCAACCGCTCACTCGGCCGTCGCCCGTCCCCCAGAGTGACTCGGGCGTGCCAGCACTGATCGCCTACAAGGCCGGAGCCGTGATCGGCAACTTCGTCCGCATGGAGGACGAGCTGGGTGACGACTTTTGCGCCGGCGACGTGGAGAACTTCCTCATCGAGTGAGTGGCTTCGTTGCTGCCTCTAGGAGAGGGAAGGTGGTGCGAGGGCGCCCAGGCGCCGCGTGAGCCTTGAACGCCGCCCAGGAATGGACTCCGTGGAATTTGGCTGGAAGGAGCCAATTCAATGGGGGTCGTGGTGAATGATATTCCCCGAAGTGTTTTGATGTGCATCGAATATGACACATTCCGGTCACACATGATGAGTGTTAAGAACGGCGGCCAGGGATTCCGAACCACAACTGTGTTATTGATGGTCCAAGGTTGCCAAACGTTAGCTATCTTTGAAAGCAACTTGAATCTTATGCAACCTCGAGCAGGCGGCTCGATTTACCGATCGTTCTGAATCTGGAATGTTTAACATTTAGCCAGGAAGATGCTTGATCACGGCCCAGGACACGGGAGTAACTTTGTCTATGGCCACGGGCATGGGAGTGTGTACGAAGGTGACTGGCTCTGGTCTCGCTGACCGGTGACTGTAATGGTAACCTTGACCGTGACCGTGACCGTAACCGTGCGTGACCAATGTCTTGATCTTCACCGTGACCGTGATCGTGATCGTGATCGTGATCGTGATCGTGATCGTGATCGTGATCGTGACCGTGACCTTGACCGTGACCGTGCCCGTGCCCGTGCCTCCTTCCAGGCACGGGCTGCTGCAGGACCGCTCCTGCGCGCCAGCCTGTATCCGGAGTAAGGCGACCGATAGCGACGACAGCGACTAGCGGCCGGTCCACGCCCCAGGGCCGGACAGGGGGGACGCACTGCGGCCGACCCCGGGTCACGTGACGCGTCCTAACGCCAGGGAGTGCGGTCACGTGGCCGGGCCGGGTGGAGGTGGCCACAAGACTGAAGCCGCGGCGGGCCGGTCGAGGGAACTGTCGCTTACCCACCGCGTAGCTCTCACGTGGCTTTACGCCAGAGGCACATGGACACTTGGCCTGTCCTTGTGGTGTGAGCGGTGCGAACTCTCCGTGCTCCGACGCGAGAGTGCATTAATGCCCTCGTCGCGCGACGACGCAGCGCGACGCGGCAGGAGGTCACGGCCTCCGCGGTGATCTCAATGTGTCCGTCTCCCGGAAGCACGCCACGCCCATTCCCGGAGCGGGCTGAGGTGGTGACGCCTACGTGCCGACAGCTCCGCCGCCGCGAGGTCGTGTATCATTCAGGTGTCGACCCGCGCTGAATGAGCCGCGATAGGGAAGCTATTTGTAACCCGTAGTGAGAGGAACAGACGGGCGGCCGGCACTGAGAACGGCAGGCGCCGATAAGTGCGGCCAGTTTCTTTGGAAGGCAGGAGGTTGTGGCCTGTTCCCCGGATCTCTCATTATGGATGGTTTTGACGCATTCTGCGCTGCGCAGTGCTGAAAGGCTTGAGCTTCGCTTGATGTAGACAGTGACGTTTTTCATCAGCTCAGGCAAGCCTGGTTGGAACAGGTGTAGAACAATCTTGGTACACTATTGTTTACGATCTTGAAGACCGTAAGAATCCTCGTACTTTACGTTATCTAGTCTGCATATGACGTGATGTGTTTGTGAGGTAGGTGTTGTGCTTCTCCCATATTTGAAGAATTGTGCTGTCTGTCGGATTTCGTGAATTTTTTTGATGACTTAATACAATACTTCGTTGGACTGATCCGTCAAATAGTGTTGGGGCGTACAAGTGGATTTAAGTGGTTGATTGACGTATTTTGCTTCGCCCTGGCCACACCCGCAAATACTAGAAAATACACGGCGTGGCAATGACTTCAGCTGTCGACTTTTATAATTGCGATTTTTTCAGAAAAGGGCTCTGAGCTCATAAAGACCGCGCAAGTCTCTGTTGGCACGGATGTGCAAGTTTGATATCACGAAGGTGCCCTCCTCAACTGGCAACTCCGATCGCGGCCCTCCCACGGGATCTTTCACAAGCAGCAACGTTCTAATGTCCGCTCGCGATGGCGGCCTGTAATCTCCCCTCCGCGTCTCCCGGGTCTCCCGCGCCCCTCTCCCCCGCGGCCGCCGCCTGGCGGTGATCTCACCGGGCCGCCCCTCCGCTCGTGAATCACAGCCGTCGCCGCCGACGCGTCGCCGCCGATTGCGTCAGACGGCGGCGGCCCGTGCGCGCGCGCCGCCGCCGCTCGTTCCGGCAGCTCTGAGTGCTGCCCGGTCGTGCGGGCGCGCCGTTCAGCAGGCGGCGTGGGCGCCGCACCGGCCGCTGCCCTATCGAGATCGGGTCGAGCGAGCGGCCGGATGGCCCGGGGAAACTTTAAAGCCGATCGCTTTTGTGCCGCTCTGTCTCCCCGGGGAATCGGACGACCTTAGGCCGGGTTTGGAGGCCGGTGGCGTCGTAGTATGGCTGCAGGCCGCTGAATGGATGCAGGCGTTCAAGCGTCGGAGCGTGGGATCGCGCTCTTTCCCGGACAGGCGTAGAAGCGGCCTAATAGGATATGGCTCACCCATTTCGGTGGAAGTTTATTAATAGTAAAACCGACGACGATGCATGGAAACTTGGAGCGAGAATATCACTCGACCACTTTTGGGGGCGTAACCCACGCCCTGCGTACTCGCTCTGCTGTGGAATGCCCAGCTTAGCTTCAGATTGCTTCCAGCGTTGACAATTGCAGTGGAATTACTTTTGAGTTAATGGCAGAGAGAAATCGCATGGCAGTAACATGCATTAATGAACGCTAAGAGCAGGTGCTGATATTACACTGATGCCATCCCCAATACGGGCATTCCACTCGCAACTCTGATAAGACACGTTATTTTTGTACAGCATCATCGTGCCTGATCTCAGACACGCGTGTTTGCGTCGGTAGTTGCTCGGTACCATGTTGATTGTTCATCAGGCAAATTTATTGCGGAAAACTTTTGCATTCCATCGACCGAATTGTGGCCGCCAAGTTCAAGCGACCCACGTTCCTCGAACCAGTCTGGGATTCAGTGAGTCAGACGTCTGTGATGTGAGGGGCGCCTGCGATCCTATCCGAATAATCCGCGTATCGTCTCATTCCGGACGGGGATGCCCCGTTTCTTCTCGCCCGTTCTGGACGGGGATGCCCCGTTTCTTGCCGACCGTCTTGCCGTCGGTACAGAACGATCGACGCCACGGCTTTTTTGGCAACAACAGACACCAGCGTCTCGGTCAAGGGCGCAGACGGAGCACAAAAACCGTCCAACGACGTCCCGTCCGGCGTCGCGGGCGGGCTGCCGGCCGTCTTGACACGACGCGGAGAAGATCGACCCGGCTGGCCGATCCCGCCGATCGCGCCATTGATTTGCGTGAAGGTCAAACGCGGAGGGCGACGACCAGAACTGACTGCAGGACGGGAGATGCAAATAACTGATCGGTTCCATCATGGATTGCCCGGGAGCGCTGGCGTTCGCCCAGTCAGCAAGCGCTTCTGGCCGAAAGCTCTCGGAGTCGACTGGTCGTTTGTCATGCCTTATGCTAGGCTCGTTAAATCTCTGTCAACAATTTCGTCAACAGTGTCAACAAGCTGACGTCGCAGGCATCCCTTGCCGAGCGTTTGCTACGACGCGTGCAAGGTTCGGGACCACGACTCCCAATCTCTGCTAGCTCATGCATCAGCCAGCTCGGTGAAAATCAGCCAGCCATCAGCCAGCCCCGTGAAAGCCGTGTACACACCCGCTCGGTCCGCGTGAGCCGCCCGCTCCTCCTGACCCCACCCAACGTCCATCGCTCAGCTGATCGGTGACGTCACGCGGTTCCCCGGGTGCGGCGGTCCGTTCACCTGCTGCGAATAACCGGGCTCCGCCACGGCGCCGGCGCCGTCAATTAGCGTCATCGCCAAATAAACGCCGGCAAAACAGTCGATGTTGACTCAGTGGCCGTCATCTCGGCGGGCCTGCCAACTAGGCTACCCGGGCGTCGGCGACGGCGGCGGCGGTGGCGGCGGCGGCGGCGGCGGCGGCGGCGTCCGTCGGCGGCGGCGGCCAGTGAGCGCCGCGCCTCGGGGCCGACGGCATGCAGGTGGTGCGCTGGACGCTGGTGTGGCTGGCGGTGGCGGCGCTGGCCGACGCGGCCGCCGTCGTGCGGCAAAGCGACGGCGCCTCACACCGCATGCGCCGCCTGATGATGCTGCGCCGGATGCGCCAGAGGATGCTCCAGCGGCGGCTGGAGCAGGCGTCGGAGCCGATGACGGAGACGGAGCCGACGCCCGAGCCGACGGTGGAGCCGTCGCTGGAGCCGACAGTGGAGCCGTCGCTGGAGCCGTCGACAGTGGCGCCGTTTGATGGTTCAGGTGAGAGCACCACTGCGCTGCCCGCGTCGTCGTCGCCGCTGCCGCCGCCGTCGCCGCCTCCGGCAGTGGAGCGGCGGCTAAGCGCGGAGGTGGCCGCGAGTTCTGCACGGCAGCGTACTCGTCTGGCCACGGCCGGAAACGTGACGTACTTGGTGCGGCAGTGGGTGGACCCAGAGGCGACGACGACGACGACGGCGGCGCCGACGGCGGCCACGCCGCCACCGCTCGAGGGCGAGCTGCGGCTGAGCGGCGGCCGCGGCTCGTACGAGGGCAATATCGAGATCTTCCACGCGGGCAGTTGGGGCCACATCTGCGACGACGAGTGGGACATGCCGGAGGCCGAGATTGCATGTCGCCAGCTGGGCTTCCAGTCGGCGCAGAAGCCGACGCACGACGGCTTCTTCGGCCGCCCGGCCGGCGACGTTACCTTCTGGATGGACAACATGTACTGCCTGGGCAACGAGCGCAGCCTGTCGGAGTGTCGGTTCGACGGCTGGGCGCAGCACGACTGCATGCCGAGCGAGCTGGCCGGCATCAGCTGTCGCGGCCGTCGCCTCGAGGACGCCAAGGCGACGGAGAAGCCCACCGAGGCGCCGCCGCCGCCCGAGGTGCCCAAGACGAGTCTGTGGCTGTCGACGCGCGGAAAGCTGAAGGCGAGGCTGCGCGGCGGCCGCTTGCCGACCGAGGGCCGCCTGGAGCTGAAGGTGGGCGCCGCCGACTGGGGCGTCGTCTGCGGCGACGGCTGGAGCCTGCTGCCGGCCAACATCGTCTGCCGCACGCTCGGCTTCGGCTTCGCGGCGGCGTCGCTACAGACCGGCTTCTTCGGCGGTAACGGCACGGCCAAGGTGATGTCGGGGCTCGAGTGCGTGGGCAACGAGGACTCGCTGATGGACTGTCGCCACGACGAGGTGATGTTCTGCCCGGGCGACCAGGCCACCAACATCGCCAGCGTCGTGTGCGAGGAGGAGATGGCCGACCTGCTGCCCGACCACGAGGCCATGATGCAGTCCGCCTACCTGGAGGACCGCCAGCTGTTCTACCTGCAGTGCGCCATGGAGGAGAACTGCCTGGCGCCGTCCGCCTACCGTATCCGGAAGGAAAACGCTGACTGGCACGTGATGCCGCGCCGTCTGCTCCGCTTCACCACCAAGGTGATGAACATCGGCACGGCCCCCTTCCGGCCGTTCCTGCCCAAGCACGCCTGGGAGTGGCACGCCTGCCACATGCACTACCACAGCATGGAGGTATTCTCGACGTACGAGGTGACGGACAGCGCCGGCCGGCGCGTGGCCGAGGGCCACAAGGCCTCCTTCTGCTTGGAGGACTCGCTCTGCTCGCAGGGCGTCGAGCCCGGCTTCAGCTGCGCCAACTTCGGGGACCAGGGCATCAGCGTGGGCTGCGCCGACAGCTACGCGCACAACATCGACTGCCAGTGGCTGGACGTGACCGACATCGACCCGGGTCACTACCAGCTGCGCGTCGTCATCAACGGCGAGTACAAGGTGGGCGAGCAGACCTGGGAGAACAACGCCGTCACGTGCGACTTCCACTACGCGGCCACGGCCGGCACCGTCAACAACTGTCACCTGGGCCGGCCCTGACCGCGGCGGCACGGCGCTGCGCCGCAGTAGGAGCTCACAGCGCAGGACTCGCTCCGCCCGCTGCCGGCGCCGGCGGGTCTCGGCCGACGCTCCCTGCGCGCCATCGTCGTCGTTCTGGTCTGCGACACCAGGTGGCAGAGCGGACGGTGGAGGGCTGCAGTGCGTTGACGTGCGAGGAGGAGGTGTAGCGTGCTGGCCTCGCACGCGGTGGATGTCGGGAAGCGCGCGAGTGAGCGGCCGTCTCTCATCCCTATGGGATTTCTGTACGGAGGGCGTTTCGTTTTGAGAGACTGCTGGACCGAGTAGCCCCCCAGCCGAGTAGAACTGGCAAAGCGTTTATCCCGATGTGACCTGGACACTGTTGCTCTTGTGCCGGTAGCTTGACAGCTACGAGGAGTTTGCCGATAGGTATTCGTCTGCCATAAGATTGTGGTTAACGGTAGGAAATGGTGATCTTTTGCACATAAGTGAAAAGTGACTTCATCCCTATTTTCGGTGAACCCACTATTTTGCATGGATGTTCTTTCAATGCCGTTTAGATCCGATGTCTCAATAAACAACGAAGCAGGCCTGGAGTGGTGGTGACCGTGGTTTCTCCGATCTCAGCAGATCCGCCGCTGATGATGATATTTGGTGATGAGGGAACATCGATCGCGTAGCCATTTTGCGCTCTCTCGGAAACAATAAACTCTATCTCTTAACCCAGTCCGTGAGAAGTATTCCTTGCCGGGCTGTGATTGGTGATGAAGACGTGCATCGCTTCGTCATATTTTATTCTCCTTCCTTGTAACCATGATCAGCGAGCAGTAAAGTCATGAGTACATAGCACAAAGCACGGAAGTTCATATACACAATGTAACAAAACATGTGCAACGGCATACTCAATGCGGTCAAACCCAACCCTCTTAACACGCGTTCGGGTGGAAGTCAGTTTGACCCGCTGAAAGTTGTTCCAGAGTAATGCCCGAAAGGTGTGGTTTAGCCGCACCAAACTTTACATAGTTGTAGGGATTGAGAAGCGGCTCTTTTTGACATCTAAAATTAGATTCACCATGTGAGGTCGCTAATCTACTGCAGATCAAAGTCAGGCAGTGGCTGTCAGCGAAGGCAATTTCAAGGAATCGTTCAATCTGATGCGACAACGGAGCACTAGGTGAAACCACAATCTCTGAGATAGGTTACATATCCTAGGCAATGCAATAATATAACTTAGGATTACGGCAAATCGTATTGGCCTTGAGCGAGGCATGAAAGTCAAATCGAGCCAAAATCAACCTGCTTTCATTCTAAAGTTAGATGTGAGGAGAACCTTCTAATGCCCATGTTAAATTTATGAATGGCGGGGACCACAGCATACATCGTCCATGGACTCTTCAAGGTAGGAGTAGGCCACTGACTTAAAATAACCCTGGTCAACACGCTGTTTTTCGGAACATACCGCCTAGCGCAATCCTTGACGCTTATTCAAATGCAAACTTGGGAACAATCTCGTAGGATTTTGGTCACCATAAACTTATAAGCTCAAAAGGCCATTGACCTAAAATGACCAACAATGACCTCTTCCTTACAACAAGGATGTAGGTCAAAGGCGACTGCGGCAGGATGTCTGAGAGCACTTTGCACACCAATCTTAAGTTTTACCTTGTTTGACCTTTTTGACCCGATGGCAAAGACTTGAAATCTCAAATTTTGACGTAAGTGAATTCACATACAGACTAATTCATCCTGTGCTTTTTCCCAGCTTGCTTAGTTTTTGAGACCTTAGGGGTCAAATTGACTGCACCCGGGCGTTTGGTATTCAACTGGTCACTCGGACGCGTGTTAAAGCCAGCAATGTGCGGTGCGCACTTCGCTGACTCCCAAACCACCACTGACACATCAGCAGCCGTGCCGTACTCCCAGCGCCACACGCCGTTACGATCTCATCAGCAACGCCCTCGTGGCGAGCGTGACTATGAGCGTAGCCATTGCCACCATCGCGCCGTTTGCCGAGCGCGCCATCCTCGCTGCGGCCGACGGGCCTTCTATGGAGTCGTCTGTCGCCTCCTCCAGGCGAGCGTGCAGCCGCCAGCGCTCGGCCCCCGGCGGCGGGAAGAGGGCGCTGGCGTCGGCGTCGGCGCGGTCCGACCGGAGACACGCCAGAGGACAGGGCCGCCGCCAGTGACCAAGGCAGACCTCGCGGCCGCGTCGCGTCACGGCCAGCCTAGCGGAGCCGAACTCGCCAACCTGCACGAGCAGCGGCGGCTGCGCGCCCCGGCCGCGTAGGTCGAGCGCGCCGCTCGGACCGGCGGTGCACCGACTGGCGGCGCCCGGAGTCTCGGTCGTGTTGCACATCGACCAGAAGAGACGCGCGGACGGCAGCGCCTTGCCCTCCTCGTCCTCCTGACTGTCCTCGTCCGCCGATCTCTCCGCAGCCTCGTGCGGCTCGTGCTTGCACTGGACGCGCCGGCAGAACGGCACGCCGCGCCACGTGCCGTTCAGACACGTGGCGCTCGCGCGCGGCAGCCGCACGTCAAACGCGAAGCCCGCACGACAGGCGTAGCGCGCGGTGTGCGGCGCGCTGCCGGGCGCCACGACGTCAAGCAGACGCGCGTCGGGCACCTCCGGCGGTGGCGGGCAGGCGACAGCGGCCGTGCAGGCCGGGCCCTCGTAACCCGACCGACACAGGCAGGTGAACGTCTTGTCGCCGACCGGCAGGCAGGCTCCGCCGTTCTGGCACGGCTGGCCGTCGCAGGGGTGCGACGCGTCGTCGCAAGGCCCCTCCACCACCTGCACGCTGTCGAGGAGGAGCTCGTCGTCGGGCGTGTGGAGGCGAGCGTGGACCTGAAGACGGTGGGAGCCCGGCGGCACGGGGCTAGTGACGCGCGACCAGTAGCGCGCCGCGGAGAACATGGTCCGCATCACGGCCTGTGACGAGTTGGCGCTGTTCTCGCTGACGAGTGAGAAGCTGACGCCGAAGAACGCCAACGTCCGCATCTCGTAGAAGAGTGATATGCAGCTGTTGGAACTTGCCGTGAACACCGGCGACGTGACCACGGCCGCCTTGCCCTGCGCCGACGTCAGCTGTGCGTAGAAGCTGCCGGGGAACGCGCCGCCAGCGGCCATGAACGTATTATGCTCCGCCGCCGTGTACAGCTTCTGTGCCAGACGGCCGCCGGCGGACACGCGGTAGCCGCAGGCGCCCGGCAGCTCGAAGTCGCAGTCGGCGGCGGCCAGCGCGGCCGGCCCGGTCGTGCCGTCCTCGCAGGTTACGTTGACGAGCGCGCTGTGGTGGGCGCCAGGTGCGTGAAACTGCCAGCAGCCGAGCGCCTGGTCGGGCGAGCGCGCTTCGTCGACGACGTACAGGAGCCGAGAGCTGCTGAAGTCGACGCGCTGCGACGGCGGGCCGATGATCCAAAGCGGGAGCGGGCTGCTCTGCCCGGTCACCAGGTAGTCGAAGTAGAGGTAGGTGGCGTGCCGGACGTGCCGGTACACCGGCCGGCCGACGTGCACGGCGTTGGTGAGTCTGAACTCGCCGAGGCGCGGCCCCGTGCCGCCGCCGCCCGCCGACGGGACGCCCGCGGCTGGGAAGGGCGGTTCCCCCTCCTCCGACGGTGGCGCGTCGCCCACGACCGGGCCGTCCCCAGGGAACGGCGGTTCGTCGGCAAAGAATGACGCCTCGCCCGCGGAGAAGGCAAGCTCGTCCGTGGGGAGCGAGCTCACGTCCGCGAGGAACGGCCACGATGCATTGGCGCCGAGAAGGCGGCCGGTCATCACCGTGGGCTCAATGTCCGGCTCGGCGTTGACAGGCATGCCGCGCACGCGCAGCCGTCCGGCCGTGCACGGCCGCCAGGCCTGGCCGACACACGTGGCGCTCAGCGTGCTCCGACAGCTGTCGCTCGCGTTTGCCCTCGGGTGCGCCACGCGCCGCGAGCGCCAGCCGTCGGCGGTCCACACCTGCCAGCCGAGCGCCCAGGGCGGCTCGTCGCCGGCGGCGCCGAGCGAGCGGATAAAGGACCGCGGCGCCGTGGCGTCGCCATCGACGACCGCGCCGGCCGGCGGCAGGCCAGACGAATTGAGCGCCGCAGGGTCGTCAGCGGCGACGTACCAGACGGGTGCGCCGGCGGCCGGGCGGTACCGCCGCAGCGAGAGGTCGCCCCGCTCGTGCCGGTAGGTGGTGACAGCCCCGGCGGCGTCGCGGCTCGCGGTGAAGAGGCCGGTGAAGCGGGCGCGGTCGGCCAGGTCGTCGCCGAGCGAGCCGAGGAACACTCGGCCTGTGGCGCACGTCGGCTGCGCGGCTGCAGGTGGAACAGGGTGCGTTATTAGGTGGCATTCGTCACGCGCCCTCGAACAAAAACTCGAGGCAGCATGCACCGTGCACTGCGTCTTTGTGATGCATGCCCCAAGGACGGGAGGCCAGAGCGCCCACCGAGGCATGCAAATGCGCGGTGAATGACGCCGTAAGACGTCTTGGCTGCCGTCGCGACGACGGTGTCATCAAAATATTCGCCCCATATGCGGCATTCGGGCCACGTCTCTCGGCTTGTGTGCGCGGCCAGTCGTGCCATGTACATCTACATGCTCTAACACTATGAGATGGGTAGACACACGCACCAAATCACTGCGCAGTAAAGTCTAAGAACCTCCCAATATTCTCCTCCTTTTTAAGATGGTGACGGAGACCCTTTGATGTTTCCGTCCAAAAAGCACATATTTAGCATACACACTCAAATGGTGAGCATTGTACCTTACACATCGTTCTTTGCGGATTGCATCCAATAACGGATCATTGGTCACTGTACGGATTTGATCGGGAGATACAGGCACGCCTGCAGAGGTAGGATATTTCCTTTATAATTTGTTTAAAAGCAATTGAACATATCAGATTGCATGGTAAAATTTATTGAGTTGACACACGTATGGAAAGCTTTGTAATTCGCAGACGGTGGCTTCGACTAGCCATTGAAAGAAGGTTTTTCTTGCGACGCGAATCATATTACATACGTGTACTGTATCATTATGCTACATTACTGGTTCTATTTTCATTCT